CTGTTTGAACTGGTCTTTGGGATTATTTATACGATTACACTAAAGTCCAAGATTAAATTCCCTACCTGATTCACTTTCTTATTGATTAAACTCATTCAGGCTCCTCTCTAATTTAACTTATTTTATTTATATTACTGTTATTATTATTAAAGCCCGGTGCACAAATGTCAATTATCCAGCAGTGAATCTTATTTCTCTTCTCTCTCTGTGTGTGTGTGTGTGTGTGTGTAGCTGGGAATGGATTAGAGAGGCTGATTAGAATTTAACTTGAAAACTGAAAAGCGTGTCCTTAAATGAGAGTGCCTGCATTAGGAATTAAAGTATCTTTATTTGGGCATAAAATCCTCTTTAATGATGTAAGAAAACTTTTAAAATAAAAGTCACATGGTTGATACAATGGCCCTGCACATTAGACATTTTTCTGTCTCTGAATGAAAAAGGAAGATGAAGGTGGTAAGAAATCTAGATAAGAAGCTAAAGTGGGATCAAATTGTTATAACTGCCCTTTGTGAATACAGCCAGAGACTCCTCTGAAGAACTGGGTTAATATCTACAAAAGCTTCATGCTGAAATGAGCCAGTCTCAAAAGTGCTACTACATTTCTTTTCCCACTACCCCCATTTCCCTTAATATTCTATATTAGGAACTCCTTTCTGTATCTAGGGAATTCTTTTCACTGGCTTTCTTTAGATGTTATATTATCCATCTCCTAAGAAACCATGTTAGGAGAACCTAATATGCATGGCTACTTTCTCCTCCCATTTTCCTTCTGTGCCCCAGGTAAGGGAATGCTTCCTGCTGTTGTGGTTGCAGCTGTGGAGAGTCTCCCCAACCGATTGCTTGTTCAGATTTCATGGCAATCTGTAGTTTGACAAGACTGGATGTTCTCTGTTTGAGTGTATAACAGAAATGAAGAAGAGGGATTATGTATGGACACAGCTCATTAGCTGCTCCTCCAAACTATGCATTGCACAATCAAGTAATGTGGTATCTGAACATCCTTATTTTTTCTGTTTGCAGGGAGTATGAAGGCTAATTTTCAGCCTCAAAAAGAAAACAAATCCAGACTACATTTTGCAAAAACAGTTTGACATTGTTGAAATATTAAATCACATTGGCACATCACTTAATTAGTTATTTATTGGTGGCGGAAAAGTTAAGAAATTAGAAGATTATGACTTGAAAGTGCAGCTATGAAGGAACAAGAGAAGATCTTCCAAGTGTAAAGATATATCATGGAGTACCAAAGTCAGGATTGTTTTGCATAATATCTGTTTTCTGTGTATAATTGTGAATCCTGGAGCAGTCGGTGCCTTCCATAGAACTTCCATCAGAACTCAAATGATTTTATTCTCTTCCCATTAGCTTTTGTCACTGTCCAGGATTGGCAACCATACATGCTCCTGACTTTGATGCTCAATGATGGTCTTATCTCATACCTTCATATATGCCCTTCCAGGTCCTATTCTGAGTCCTTGATTACAGCTTCCATCTTGGTTTTAATCTCTTTGCCTCCATACCACATACTAGCATCCTATGACTTGGAATGTCAAGAGAAGATAATGAACAATAGTGTCATCTCACTATACTTTATACATTCAACTGAACAAGCCAATGAGAAAGGAGGGGTTGAATATCTTCATTGCATGGTGATTCAATTTCTAGATGAATCTTAACCTTTCTTATCTTCAGACAGAAAAATGAATGGGAAATATGAAAGTATAGTCATGAAGCCCATATTCAAAGCCAACGGGGATTTCACAGAATCTCACAATTAAGCCACCGGGGGGGGGGGGGGGG